TAGAGACAGCGTCAACTACAAGGAGGTCATGAAGCAGTTCAACCTAGGACCCAACGGCGGCATCCTGACAAGCTTGAACTTGTTCAGCACAAAGATTGATCAGGTCATTGGTCTGCTGGAGAAGCGAACACAGCCGCCGCCGCCAGTAGAGGAGCCAGAGCAAAGCACGGTTGAGTTCATGACGAGTGGAGGCAAGGACAAGCAAACGGCACCGGCTCAGCAACCACAAGTGAAGCATATCTTAGTGGACACGCCAGGGCAGATCGAGGTCTTCGTTTGGTCTGCAAGTGGAGAGATTCTACTCTCAAGTTTAGCCAGTACATTTCCCACCGTCATCGCATACATCATCGACACGCCGCGCACAACCAGCACAAGCACCTTCATGTCCAACATGCTTTACGCCTGCTCCATTCTCTATAAGACAAAGCTGCCTATGATCCTTGTCTTCAACAAGACCGATGCACAGGATGCCCAATTTGCCAAAGATTGGATGACCGACTTTGAGGCCTTCCAAGCCGCCCTGCGTAACGAGGAAGAGGGTGGTAGCTTTGGCGGTGAAGGCGTGGGTGGAGGAAGTGGATACATGGGTAGTTTACTGAACAGCATGTCACTGGTTCTCGAGGAATTCTACAAGCACCTCAGTGTTGTCGGTGTCAGTGCTATGACGGGAGACGGCATGGATGAATTCTTCAAAGGTGTGCAGGAGAAGAAGGAAGAGTTTGAGCGCGATTACAAACCCGAGCTTGAGCGACGTCGGGCAGAAAGGGAGCAAGAAAAGAAGGCGACACGTGAGCGTGAGTTGGACAAGATGATGAAGGACATGAAGGTTGGAGGCGCGGGCACAAAACCAAAGAGCAAGCCACGAAAAGAAGAGCCAGAGACGGTTAGCGATGCGGAAAACTCAGACGAAGCCGGCATGGTGGATGACCTAGACTACGAGGATGAGATGGACTCAGATGACCCAGAGAACGGCCTGAAGGAGCGATACAGACAGGCTGTTCAGGATCGTGGAGTCGACCAGAACGAGGATCATAGCTTCGCACGATACGTCAACATGGCAAAATTCACATGAGAGAAGCAACCAACAATGCAAAGATACCCGACTCTAGCTATGATAAATGGTTGGGCTTTCACATTGCACGATAGGCGGCCTCGCCTCCAGATTCCTGGTTCAGCTCGGAAAGACACGCGGGCATGTACATGTAAGACCGCGAAGAGAGATGTTGTTGAGAGGATTACAAGCGATATGCATTCGTTGACGAGCCGCAGCGAGACGCCGTGTCAGTGTTTCGCATACCAACCAACACCATTTTTGCACAGGCATGCGCACTGATCCCTTTTAACCCACGCTTCTCGATGCTAAAATGAGTTTGACACGTACAAACTGGCCGTTTCTGCCTCCACATCTTGCCTTCTCGCCATCCTGGCTTCGTTATACCCTCACATTTTCATGTCTGTTTTGGTTACCACAGGCGGGGATGCGCTTGTTTCACCAAAAGAGACGAAATTCAGGAAGCGAATGTTCCACTACAGTGCAGGCAGGGCAGGTAAAGAAGGGCAGCGAGACGATAATCCGCGATGTAAGAGAAGGTATAATTAGTTACACCTGTCAGTTGTCAGCGCCATGCATGCGTAGTGTGTAAGACAAACCCAGAATCTATTCTATATGCCTTTCCAGCAGAATTCATGCTTGCGTGATTCTAGTGTGCTCTTTCGTTCAACTCGGTCTGGTTGATGACTTGGAAAGGTCTAGATGTAGTGGTTCGCTTCGAGATAGTGTTATACAGTATGCTGAATGACCTGTTGCTGAATTCTATTCATTCAGTAGTGTAGACCAGAAACATACTGGATATCCAGCTATACGTTGTCCTACACCCTGTCCTTGAATGGTAATGCTCTAATATGTCGCGACTCATATCTCGGATCTTGCTGCGTGAACATCCATATCGCCTGGGCGCGGCATAGTCTACGTAGATCTACAGTCATGTGTTAGCCATAGCGACAAGGGTCAAAGTTCCCGACCAGGCCCTGGCTTGCAGACCGAGACACTCTGTGGCTTGCAGATTGTAAGATCGATTTGGGAAATGACAGGTCCTGTCGGGTTTCATTGAGATGGGGTACTAGGTTGTCATACTTAGTAGTGTTTAGCGGAATCATTTGTACGTACGGGAAAGGTTACTCGTTTCATGTTGGAATCATCTCTCTGGCAACATATTTGCATTCGTCCTCTTATATCGTATAACCATGGCCTTCGTCTCCTGTTCAAGTATCGGTTCGGTGTATTTCTTATTATCCTTGACTTAGTTAAGGAAAGGCTAGCCCACAGCGAGATACTTTCATGGTAGGGAGCACAAGAAACCCCAAGCAAGATACTATGCAGGGCCTGCAAAGGAAAGAGGGCATTCTCGTGTTGTGAGACTGCACAACGTGGAACAAGGCGTTTTCTGCCGCCCGCAATTTATGTGCGACGTTGGCACATGGCGTTCATCTGGTGCGACCGTTGGTGAAGGCGACAGTCCAGAATCAAACAGCGTCCTCTCTGGTGGGTGTGTCAGAGAGAAACTGGGGGACAGTGAAGAGGCGTGACGCTCCATGTAGAATAAAGGAGGAAAGGAAGAAAGCAAGAGGGATAAAAACCTTCTCCACGTCGCTGATTGCTAGCAACGATTAAAGCGAACATGTCGTTTCCCAGCTGAGCCTATCTTCACTCAACCTGCGTGACCCCATCCCAACAAACACCTCCTTACCCTCCACAAGCTGTTAGATAGCGAAGGGTGAGAGCGGCAACATAGCCAGTGTCGGCCAGCCATATAGCAAATGTGAAGCCTGTATGCAAGCCTGCTGTACAACATGCACAACATCAGAGGACCCGAACGTATCGCTCCCCACAAACTCGCCAGGCCATGCTGTCTCACTCATCTCGGGATCTGCAGGCAGATAAACGAACGTCTCACGACGTCGACAGCCACTGCATCCCGTCTCGACCTGCAGCAGGCTCAGCCCAATCCAACGCTACGTCTGCGTCCAACGTCGTGCAGGGACAAGACATGCGCTGTAGGGCTGTTTCAAGGGCGCCCTGCTGTGCGAGTACCCAGGGACAGTAAGACATGGATGACTATTATAGGGGTTTACTTAGGTGTGTTGGGTGTAGCGAGTCGGGTGGTACGACTCTACGAAAATGCTGTGTCTAGCGAATGCGTGGCTTTTGTGTGACTATACGCAACCACCGCATGCATTCAGAAGTGCGAAAGGACCTTTGGAATTGCTGTCGGATGAGATCGAATGATTTGCTGACATGCATGAAGCGTCGCGGCGGCTCTACCTCCGTAAGACTAGCAGCGAAAGTGAGATTAGGCAGAAAGTGACAAAAAGTGTAGAGAATATTGATCTGATGATGGAAAGCCAAACCTTGTCATTGTGTTGTATTGCCGTAGCGTACCGCTACATTCGACAGCGCGAGAGATCACATTGTGATGAACCTTATCGTACAGTTTTAAATCGTGGAACGAGTGTCCCGTCTTGCCGCGGCAGGGCACAGACGAAGACAGCGGAAGCCTATCGTGACACGGAGTTCGGTCCCAGGTTTTTCGCTGTTATCCAGAGATGCTCGTCGAACTCAGTAAACCCAGCCACAACGTCGATCTTCGAGTTGAAAACCCAATTTCTTTTCGTATCGCTGCAGGCTGCATGGTGTTGAGAACTACGTTCTGCTGTCGCATATGCTTACTGCAGATCCGCAAACTTCCGTATGCACCACCAATATGCTGCGTGCGAAACATGGAACGATACAAAAAGGAAAAGCGAAGGATCATTTCTGATGCAGATATGATGTCACTGAGAGCATGTGCAAACAAGATGGGTCTGTATATCCGCCATGCACAGATTGTGATACAGAGAGGTTGGCAAGTGAGCCGAGTTTTGATGCAGGCATGAAATCCGTGATCCGGCGTCAAGTCGGATGTGGGGTCCTCCCAAGGCGGAAGTCGCAACCCAGAGGGCCGTTTGCCAGGTTGGAGGCCTTGCGACGCAGAGAGCCGTCGACTCGAACTGGTCCCCTCAAAGCCAAGGAAATGACTCCTGGTGATGTTGGGGAATAAAGTCCCCGGAAAATGACCTGTTGTTTGGATAGAGTTTGTCTGCGACGATTCCCGAGCCAATGGCGAGTTGTGGAGGAGCGTCCTTCCGATTCGGGGTATCCGGGCTGAGGGTTCTTGTGCAGATCGTTAAGGTTCGAGTCTAACCTCGAAAAAGATCTGCAGGGTCATCAGCGTTGCGAAAGCCTTTATTAGTGGGTCACTAGCGTGTGGGCAACCGATCTTTTCGCAGCTGTGAAAAGGTTGAGGAGAGGCCGTTGGACGACATTAGTTGGCTAGACGCCGCGGAGCATAAGGGTAGCGGTGGCGTGTTGATGGAAACGAGATTCCGGGATAAGCTTTGGAAGTGGTTGTTCCAGCTAGTATGGCTGGGCAAGCTGTCGTACCATGGATCAAAAGCGGGCAATAGTGCGTTTGGCACGAACTATGAGCTGACGGCGGGGTACCAATCCACAGTTCGCGACCGTTTCTTGTCGTCACGATTGCATGTGGAAAGCCACAAGTCTTGTATGGCTGTGAGAGATTGTAAGAGGTTGGAGATCGGCTGCACTTTCCATGGTTCGCATATACCGTTGAGGTCACGCAGGCGCATCACGCAAATGGCAAGTTGGTCAGATGAGTTTGTAATGATTCTTTGGATTGTTTTTGTTTTGCAAGTCCGCAGACTTCCGTAGAGTGTTGCAATTAAGAAAAATCAAAGGTTGATGCACCTTGAGTAAGGGCGGGTATCCATATTGCCGATTCCGGGCTGAAATCCCTATGTTTGAATGTCATCCTCCACATGCACTGCCAAACAATGAGGTTGCTAGTGACAAAGACATGAGGATGCTAGTGACAATGACAGAAGGAAATAGGCTGTAATCAGCCCATGTACCGAAGTAAATGCAGCCGATAGTATGTACAGAGAAAAAGAAAAGAAAAGTGTGCGACGATGCGCACCACTCCCAAACGCCCAGTTCCGTTCGTAGCCATGACGGCATGCGTCTATTGTTCCGTCGGACTTTTGGACTCCATGATGTCGTGGTCGTAGCCATAAGCGCCAAGCTCTAGAAATCCGGTGGCCTGATGGTATAGCAGGCCGAAGTAATGATCAAGGATTTGATCGGATGAACCATGAAAGAGAAGTATTAATGCAGTGACTATGACTCAAACTTGCGCTTCTCACCGCTTGCAGCGATGGCGAGTGCGTCCAAGCCACCGTATTGGGTGGCGGCGGGGTTGTAGCTGTAGTTGGCGGGGTCGGGGTACCGGGAGCTGGGAGAGAAGTCGATGAAGGCATCAGTAGACTGCACGGCGGGCGCCATGGAAAATCCGGAGGGGCTGAGGGGAAGCGTCGGATCAACCATGGAAAGCGATGACAAGGAAGGCATCGTCGACTGGAGGGGTGCCGGCTTGGGTCGCTTTGCCTGGTGTTTGGCCTTCTTGACGTCGCGGTCTCCACCCTTGGCCGCGTTGCGGCCACTCTGGTGAGTGCGGCGGTGCTGCTCCATGTTGTCCTTGCGGGTAAAGGCCTTGTTGCACTCGGGGCAGAAAGCATCCTTCTTGCCAGTGTGCTTCTTTGCGTGGCGGGCAGCATGGCCCGAGGTGGTAAAGAAGTCGTTGCACTGGAATTGCTTGGCCATAGGGCAAGGATAGCTGTTCTTCTTGGGTCGCGCGTTCAGGGCGGAGGGGTCCTGGTGTTGCTCGGAGAGCTGTTCGGGCCTGAAGTAGCCTGCCTGCGAGGGGTTGGCGTGGTAGGGGAGAGGGCCAGACTGGTGGTGCATGGGGAAGCCGAGATCCTTCTGGTGGTGGAAGAATCCATTTTGCGAGAAGACGGGCGAGTCCATGCCGGGCTCGTAGGAAAAGTCTGGAGTAATGGGCGAGGGCGTCTGCATGTTGGAGTCTGACGAGTCGCTGCGGACGAGGCGGGGTGGTGAGGGTTGGGGGGAGGAGGAGTAACTGGAGGTCCTAGACTGGAGGGAAGGAGTGATGGAGGGAAGTCGGACAAGTTGAGGAGGCGCCGGGCCGTCGTTTAGCAATGACACTCTGCGACCTGTCGAGTTCTTGCCGGACAAGGCGTCCATTTTGAGCAAACACGTGCCAGTGGGGGAATGCGACCAAATTCGCAGTAGGAGCGCAGCGCAAGCACGTGAGAGTGAAGGCCGGGTGGTTGAGGCGCTTTATACAGGGTGATGTGAGGGTGATGTGGAAGTGTGAAGGCTTGTGACGTCGACACGACAGCGAGAGAGATTGTTTGGGTGAGGGGAGGTTGTCGTGAGTGTTTTGGGAGAGAGCTTACTGGAGCACCACACGAGAGATGCGGGACTGGGAGCAAGTTATATTGGGCAAGGCACAAGCAGGGCAGAAGCACAGGGTTCTCAGGTCCTAGGATCAGGGCACTATCAGGGACTGAGAATTGCATGCGTGGAGATGGGAAAGTGCAGTCCGCCCTAAGACGCTAGCGTGCTGTACAGTGGCAGGGGCCCCGGCGATCAGCCCTCGCGAGGCGATGCGCTACTTAGTGGAAGGAAGAGCGACCAGGAAGCGGCGTCAGCGCATGCCACGGCGGACCAAACGACCGCGAGCGCCCCCAGTGGGTGATTTGGGTTGGGAAGAAGCTTCTGCGGTACTGAAATCGACATGGGTGCTGGGGGAGCAACGACGTGCAGCAGCAGCAAAAGAAAATAGACGCAAGATTGGCTTGTCAAGGTTGTCAGCGTCGGCCAATGCTACCGCGGCGGACAGGTGCCGTCTGCTCAGGAGAGATCGAGATCGTGAGGGCAGTTTCAAGGAACTCTGCGACCTTCGGGCGCCAATGGCAAGAAACAGGCCCTGTGCCAGCTCACACCCGCACACTCCGTCGGCCTACTTCCGGTGCTTGTCGGCGTCAAAGAGTCAGTTGTTTTGTTTGATGTTGTTGTCGCGCAGGGCGGTATAGCCCAACTCTAATCAATCCATCAAGCCATGCGATGCGATGCGCGCGCTGTCTTGTCTTGTTGCGCCAGGCCGCGCGCGCACGCTGCTGCTGTGTATACAGCTGCTAGACACGTACTGACGGGCTGTCATACCGGCCTCCAACCGGCCCAGGGTCTGCGTCCCTCAGCGTCCAGCATCCAGCGTCCGCATCTGGAGGCGCACTCGGTACTCGAAAAACGACGCGCCGGCATAACGTCGCTAGGTCTGATGTAATACAAAATCAGGGTCTTCTCCGCTAGTCGATCCCTGTCAGCCGTTTAGCTCTATCCGCCTTTGCTCTAGCGCCCCACTCGACGTTGAGCAGTGATCGGGACAGCTGGTGGGGATCGGTCACAGTGCCCTCTGCGATGACGTCGGGCTGCCGCCATCATTCGTCTCCAGCCACAGCCCCTGGCGCTCTGTTTAGCGCCAAAAGACCCATAGACTCCTCTGGCCAGACTCCTGACTTGGACGCCGTCCTCGAAACGGCAGCCGCGCAGCACTGACCGAGCCCCTCCATCGAGTTTTTGCACCCCATCGACGTGATCTTCCCACCTTAGCCTGCCTCGTTTCTTTTCACTTTGCGCGGCCACCACCCATCCGGTCCTTTTCTAACAACCTGATCGCGATCACTTCCTCCCCAAGCAGCAAAGCCCATCGTGGTTTTATGCAGGGCCCGCCCAAGTCACCCTTCGTGCCGCCGATTGACCCGGCGTCAATCTTCTCTTACAAACGCTGATGTCACTCTGCCCCATACCGCACGCCTCGCTTTCGGCACCGGTCGCCACTACCGCACTGCCTAATCGGGAAGCTCACGATACCTACCTCCCTGCCTGAAGACTGTTTTACCAAATTTTTCAACGGCGAGATCGGCGTACAGCCACATGTGCCAGCCAGGTGGAGCAGGCTTACCTTGCTCGATACGATGCCCAATATTGCGATTGCACTCTAATCGATGCCCGTCCTTTTCCTCGCCCTCTCAGCAGTTCAGCAAGGGCGCCACGCAGCCACGTGGACCAGAGCTTCGGTGCTCCTGATCGTCCCGCCCAGCATCTGAGAGATCGAGATGGAAATGCGATCTTGACCAGTATTGACCAATGCCAGCCTCGTCTTCAGCCATTGATGCTCCTGAAATGTTCCATGGTCCAGCACACCTGGTCTATGCCACTGCTGCTTTTGCTTCGTCAATCTGGCACCTGACGCTCTTCTGCCAGTGCTCCCTCAAAGTCAAATTGCTTTTCCGACACATCGTCCCCTCGAGCAATCTTCTTCGTACACTACTGCCCAGAATGCCTCTACTGCCATTGGTCCCCTACGCCGCGGCCGCTGAAAGTCCCTGCAGAATGTGTTGATGGCGCTTTCACAAGCGCGAAAGCTCCAACGCCTTGCGGCCTCAGCCATCCACAGAATCAATGCCTCTCGCACGTCAAATTGCCCTTGCATCCTGGTGTTTCCTTTTACCTGCAATCCAAACACAAAAATTGCGCCAACTTGCACACCAACACTAACAATTACTGCGAACGATCTCGATCCCGATGCACTATCACTGTGAACTATTGTCGCGAAAGAAGTGCAATTCCCCCTTAAATCCGCCTAATTGCCGTCTTTGAGAAAGCCGAAGTCTCTATTCTTGGCTGGTACATACCCCACTCGGTATCCGTTAGCATGCCGTCTGCCATGTGTCGAATGAGAAGCGATGGACCCTTCTCCGATGCGGCGTTCTCATGGTTGACGCTAGGTCTGCTTGCACGCGCTCGACATTTCGTAACCAAGAACTCATACACGGCGCTCCATCAATACTGATTATCCTGCCTACGGCTATTCATCTCTCGCTAGCAGCAGATCGGTACGGGTGCGCCTCCAGTCGCATCAATCACAATTACAGCTGCAAGATATCAGCGCGGCATACACATCCGCCTCCCTTGCAAGGCCTGCTGCCGTAATTGGGAACACCCCGGCTGCATGGATCAATGGGCACATGTTCCTACCCAGTCACGCCATGCCCAGCTTCCTTCAGCTACTGCTTTCGTCTTTGCTGTCCCTGATCTCAAGAATGGACCCTTTGAATGTTCTCCGTCCACCTCGATTCGTGCCGTTGTCGCAACACTGTCCCCGCTCCAATCACAAGGTTTATACATAACATGTACGACATGGAGATCATGAATGCCATGCTCGGCAGGACACGTCAGGCGATCTACGAAATGAGCATACGTCACGGAAAACCGTTAAGCGACGCGGTTCGAGACCACTTATTCCGCAGCGCCAACGTTTCCGAAGATATTCGGGCTCGTGTAAGAGCTGTGTTTTCGTAGGTAGATAGCCGAACCTAGTAAACTGTATTCGCTCATATTTCCACGTTCGAACTACGGCAGGCGCAAACTTCAAACTTTAGCTTACAGTAGCTTCCACGCCCTCTATTGATATTTGCCGTGTCGTGCTCAAAACAAAAACCCGTTGATTACAGGGTCCTCAAACACACGACGCCGACCCCTCCAGATGCGAGGAGCTGGCTCCGTAATGAGGGTCTGCTGCTGAATACCCCGCATCGAGACTTCTCATTGGTCAGAATGCCCGGAGTTGCTGTCCGTGAGGCGTCGACCGTTGCCGAGTAGCCGTGGCACACCTGGTGACAGAGTGCGCTAGTTTGTCCCGCCTCCCCGCCTAAGCTACAACGGAGAGATCATCCACGTGGGAACTGGATATTGTACCACTTGCTTTTGTTCTCAACCCCTTCATAGCACTGAGCGATATCAGGATTGTACCCAATACTCCGGCGGTCCACCGTGTAATAATATGTACCAGGTTCTCGACTCGACTCAACTCAACCCAAGGTTCACATTTGCGTGGGGCGGCTCTCCGCAGCCGCATCTATGCTTCATGAAGATCTCCAATCCTTTCTGCGCGGGCCATGTCACCTCTCAACAACACTGGGTTGTGGTTCTGCCAGATCAATTACGCCATCTTTGGACCCTTTTGACATTGTCATGATGCATGTCGGAAGAGGTCTTTAGCTTGTTTACATGGGGGCTGGTTGTTTAATGCCGTGCCCAGATCATTGACCAGATGCAGATCCAGGCCACAGTATGACCTATTCCGTTTACAGGATATACGACTTATCCCGGGGTATACTCTTTGCGTGGCTTACGTCGGCTGGGGCATCGTATCATCGTGGTTATTGAACTCTGCCAAGGCTTCAATTCACGAACAATGACAAAGCATTTCCACCGGTAGCGATCAAGGCGTCCGCTGTCAAACCATCATATGATGCGACTACGATTCGTGGAGCCGCGGACACGCAGCATCGACGTGAAACGTGCATTACTCATTCTTCAATCGCTACCTGCAAACTTTTGCTCAGAGTAACTGAGGCGAATGTTGACAGTTGCTTCAGATCGCAGAGCCACACAGCTGCATCTTCGCAATCTGTGTGTGACCTCATTACACCGAGCAACATCACCGAAGAAGACCCACTCGCAGTCACGGCCATGATGACCGGCATAAGCGAGAGAATTACATCAAGTACATCGGGTATTTCCTCCGTATCGCATCACCAGTCATATCACATTGCGTCGCATCGCATTGCGCCCTGACCCAACTGACCCCTTGTCTCCTTCACTTGTAGCCATCTCGGTGTTTTGACTCGTGGTGCTCCACCACCACAACATGCGATATACTAACGCGAAAGCGAGAAACTTACGCGTTCGTTCGCTTAATCGCTGAACTGGGTTCTTTGTTACCCAGAGGGTCCACTTCCAACGTTTGATGTTTTATCGCTGCAACAAGAGGGCAAGTTTACATCCCATGATCTCCCACTTTTGAGCGCCTCAAGACATGGATCCTGACTCGACATCTCTCTGACCGATTGCTGGCTGTTGGTGTACCCGGGAACCCACATGATTTTCAACGGTTTCGTCGACTTGTCTGCCATATCTATTTTGGCAATATCTCTCCGGTTCAAGAGTGGTCACGGAGAAAGATTCCTTATCGTTGTGCATACCGCGGAGCAGGAAAACGCACTGTATTCCTCACATTCTCATCACTCTGCCCATCACCAAGATAAAGACGGTGATTTGTTCGTGAATGCATAGCGTAATTTGTCTAACGTCTTATAGCAGTGTGAACTGAATGGTTGTATGCGGCTATAATTCCCGAAGTAAGTGTAAGAGTGACATATAGCGGAACATGTAAGCCCGCGTCAGCTTCTCTTGGTACTGCCTTGGGTTTCGTACACTTTTTCATCAGTATTACGACCTCACAAACTGATTTCATCAAGGGTCTGTTCGGTTATGCAATACTATACACTCTCTGTACACCAATGTAGAACGCAAGGTTGGAAGACAGGATAAGCGGACATGCATGCACCACGTTTCGGAAGTAAACCTTCGATTTTCTGATTACTGTAAGACTACTAGACTATTCCAGGTCTCCCTTGCTACACAACCCTGGACATGGACGTGGCGATGCATCACGGCTCGCACACAAGCCATGTCTCGTTGATGTGTCCAATACGCGCTCTTGGAGTTGGGCTAACGGGTGAGCTGAACGATAGGTTTGCAGCGGGGGGAATCTGAGCCGTCTACAGGATCTTGGACCCTCTTAGCTGGGGCGCCTATAGGATACTAGTTCTTCTCAACCAGCATCACCGTTGTAGAACTCGGATTCGAAAGCCGACGCGGCCTTGATTGGATATTTGAAGTAAGACGAAGCCAGTTGAACTTGTTGGGTGTCGGAGACGGCCGATGGAATAGTGAATATTGTTGGTTGTAATACGAGGTTCTTGGGGGTCATGAGCAAGTCCCGGTTTCCTTTATCCTGTTCTCTACTTTCCCTTTCGAAGAAGAATTGACTGCACCCAGATACGGCAATGTAACGTCAGATGAATCAATGGCGAATTTTCCACATCAGATTATGAGTCAGTACAATTATATAGAGAAGCCAGGGAAATGTGAAGATGAAGCTATAGCAATGCTCATCTATATGCCGAACAACTAAACGATACAACTCTTCCTACCGTCACGTTCCTTGCTGGATGAACATAAGCTACAGGCCAAGTTTCATTCTCTGTTATCCATCTCGTAATATGACAATAGTAGCAACTCCTCAATTTCTCTCTCGCTGAATGCGAATGATAGTAGAAGAATAATCAATATAGCCGGATTGTTATGAACTATTCATCACGGCCCAGATGCATTACCCCACGCATCCGATATGTAGTTACCATATCTGGTATGACTGCTGCTCTTTTCTTCTCTGACGCTGTTGTGCGATCACTACCATCTCGACTTTATGCATATAATATAGCTTGAGACGGCATATGGATCAATTGAGTAGATCAGTAGTGTGTTCTTGGTGACTTGAGTTGAACAGGACGCGCATCTATTCTACGAGACAGAAAGCGAACTGAAAAGAAGACGGTCGTAACATGATGTTGTCTGGATGAAAGTACTCAAACATGGACTGGTGCTGGAGACAGACTACAAGTTTGAGTCAAGAAAGTATACGCAGAGCAACCACCATGTCTACAAGCGATACAGTCTGAGGATTGGCTATGTCAGCAGCCATAAGGAGAATCTGCCACTTGCGGAATGTAGATCGGACAAAGGGTAGATGCGAATCAGATTTCTCACTTCGAGCATTTGCAAAGACTTAGCAACAACAATGAACGAAACTAACCGCCTTGGTCTATCGGAATTGTCCATTACAAGGGTATGGGATATCTACAGTAAAACTCAAGCTATGGACAAGCGAATAACGCCACTGGACGAACCGTGTCAAGAATACCATACAAGACTCACTCCTGGCACCTGTTTTTTTTCTGCAACTAAAGAAGGAACCAGCTACTCGCTATCGTCATCGCCGATAAGTTTCGCGTAGTCCTCCATAGAAGCGAAAGTGGGCAGGTTCTTGAGCTTCCTCTTCTTCTTCTTGCCGCCCTCCTTGTCCTCATCACCATCACCTTCCAGGTTAAGTTCGACTGGAACATCGGCATCGCTGTCCATGAATGCATCTTCATCGTCAAGGTCGAAGTTTTCAAAGTCATCGTCGTCGTCTGCCTGGTGATGGCCACCGACAGCCTCGTCCTCTTCATCGGCATCGACATCCTCCCCATCGTCACTGCCTAGGTTGAGTTCGACACCACCGTCCATGCCTCCAGCCTCATCGTCGCTCATCATGTCGTCCATATCGAAATCGCTGAGGTCATCATCGTCACCTCCGTCACCTTCAACGTCTGGACGACTCTTGACAAGCGCCTGCCAGATCTCATCCTCATCACCACTGTCCTCTTCACTGTCATCCTTCCTGCGGTCCTTCTTCTTCGTCTTCTTGTCAGCTTGCTTGGCTTTGCCAGCCTTTTCGAAGTATGTGTGGAAGAAGACTTCATCGACACGGACATCGTCGACCTTGCGTCGCCAGAACTGCTCGGAGTTGAGTGGGTCGTGCGTGCGGTCGCCATCGCGGTCGGTGATGAGGTAAGATGCGGCCTTGGAAGTTCCAGACATAGGCTGCATGATGGAGGAGCCATGGACACCTTGAGCCTTGGTCTTTGCGTTGCGGAAAGAGAACTTGTCAAGGAAGTTCATAAGAGTGTAGATGGTCGGGTCAGGCTTTTCTTTGATGGGTTCTTGATTGACAATCTTGGAGGCCAGCACGTGGACAGAGGGGTGGTAGTGTGCTTGAAGCGGTAGTAGCTCCCACAGACAAGACAGGTCAGCATGCGCGTGTTCTGGGTCTCGTTTCCTGGAGTCATAGGTAACTTGTTCAGGCTTCTCTTCT